AGGACACTTTATATGTTTGGAAGATTTTTTTTTCTTGTGGACCACGTATTTGCCAGCATAGTTGACGGCTCGATTCGGCTAATAGCATCAGCAGTTCTCAACGTTTATTGTTCCTAATGAACTTCTCTTAAGTATAGTTCTGGAGGTATGGGGAAGATTTCAACTAAATTCTGCACGAATTATCATCACAAATCACAAATTTCAAATTCATAAATTCCGACTTTCCCTATTTTTGTAAGAACCAAAAAACAAATATTTCAGCTTGTTGCTTGATTTAAAAAAAAAAGTTCGGTGAACATTACAAAAATTAAAGCACTGCAACTCCTCCGTTTTTAATATGAAAAATATTTTCGAAACTTTCTGTCCAACAATAATGTTTTGAGAAATAAATAGCAGAAAATTGTAAAATAACAGATTAAGTGATTTTATCAAAATATGATCTTTAGTTAAATCCAATGGAAATTTAGCTTTTCCAATTTTTGTTATACTATCCGAGCAACAAACAATTACATTTTAATTAAAAACGAAAAAAAAATATTTTGAAAAAAAAGATTGTTGTCAAAAAAGTAAACGTGTCTGTTATTCAAGAAAAAAGCCAGAATAATTTGTTGTTATGAATTATTTCTTTTTTTGTCACATATTCAGACGTTTGTGTCATAAAAAGAAGTCGCAGCAACTTACAGATATTTTGCGTGAAATATACTTTCTAAATCTAACTATCAACAGAAATCATCATCAAAGCAAACACTTTAATACTGGAATGGTTATTACCCGTTAAAATGGATTTAGTTTGGCAAAGATCAGCTATTAGTTAATTGTTTCGGTTTCTTTCCCGATTGCATATCTTTTTCTACTCTTGATGGCTTTTGTTAGGAGGTTTCACCTTATAAAATGAATAACGGGGTAATATCCTTTGTTACAAGCACAACAAAAATGCAGATGATAGGCATTCCGTTCTAGCATCGGTGGTCGTAATTTCCTGTTAAGTTCTGGAGTATAAACGCAAAAGCTATAATAATCCTCCCACTTTGGCAATACAAAGTTTGTGCAACAAATCTCCAACACACAATCCCTACCTATTGTCATTCTCCCAAGTCCAATGTCGCTTAGAACATGACACTGGCGTCAAGAATAGCTGCCTTGCTAATTCTTTTGGTTTTAAGGGAGTATAAAATCAACGTGAAACGCCCACTCATTCCTCTTACTCTCTTCAAAATCGCCTCACGCGTTCCCGTGCATATTAAAGGTTTATTTTTAAGAATTAATGGATAAACGCAATAAATCATCCGGTTCTAAATCAGTTTGCTTCCCTGGGCTAATGTATCTCTTTACACGCACAGAAAACGTATGAAGAAAGATGAGTTTTATATTCAATTATGAAAAGTACTGTTTCTATACACCTGTCAAAAAAAAAAAAAAAAAAATCGACGTGTTATGTTATGGCGTTTTCCGTCCATTCGTCCGTCATAAACTTTGTTGTCCTTGCTTTTTTATTTATCCGGCAGTTTTCGACCGATCGTCTTCAAACCGGGTAAGCTTCATCACCATTAAATGAACTTTATTGGATTAGACTATATGTGGAAGAGTTGCTTCCCCTTGTTGTTTTCATAGTGTTAACTTTGTCAGAGATCTCTCTCCGCAATTTCAAGCGGTCTTTTCTCAAACTTGGTAAGAATAATTAATTGGATATTGAATCGTGCTTTCCAAAATGATAGTTGGTTTCAGCTGTATTTGGAAGCATTACTACTCCTTGTTGTTGTATATCATTTTAATCCTGTCCGAACATCGCCTCTCGGAGATTTCAACATATTTCTTTCAAACTCAGTAGCCTTATGCACCATGAAGTTGTATTATCTCACGCAGCCGTTTCTTCACTTACCTTATATTCAAATATATACTGAATGATATCGTCTATTAACAAGCCATAAAAATACAAGTGCATGCACACACTTACATTATATTAGAGTAAAACTTAAAATGTCCATCTACACCCTTCACCATTTACATCCAGAAGTAATGATATTTCAAAAATTTCCGCGTTTCGGAGAATAGCGGAAATTTGCTATCCTATAGTTTCGGTCACGTACATATGTACGCAAGGCGTGCAAGGCAGTGTATAGTATCTGACCAATCAGGAGACTGATTGGCGTGCCACGCGGAGTACTAGGGTACCGACGCGCACGTGAGGGGTATATCGGGTATTCATTCTAGCCGCGGACTTCCAAAGTGTTGACTGCTATAGTTATGGAGCCGTCTCAACGAGGACCAAATATTTCGCAGCAAAGCGATATGCTGTCACAGTTGGAAGTGATGTTGTCTTCCAAATTCAATTGCCTACGACAAGAGCTCCAGGAAAGTCAGAGGGATTTTTCGGAAACTCAGTTATCAAAAATAGCTGAAATGACCTCGGACACTCATAAATTCAAGCGTAAGGGGAACGAGGAACAGTATAGGATTAATTACAAGGTGGTGGTGAAGCTTAAGGAAGGCCAGTCCGCTCTGCAAGAAAATCCTGCCTCAAATACATACACACAGAGAGCTTCGGAAAAAATTGTAGAAGGTATGGAGCTGTTAGTTCACAGGCAAAAACTTGTTAAGTTAACAGGTTGGCGGGTTGTCGAGGAATACGAGACTAACACCCTAGCTTCCGATTCGGAGGACGAAAAGCGCATCATTCGGGCAGAAAACAGAGCTCAGCGTAAGGCCAGGACCCAGAGGTTATTCAGAGGCAGACGTGTTTACCCTTATGGAGTCCCACGGCAACACGTTTCGGAGCAACGGGATGTCCCAGTGTCGAGACCCGGACTGTGGTTCAGCTGCGGGAAACCCGGACACTGGAGGGCGGAATGTTTCAAGATGCAGGCGTCACAAGTGCAGGAAAATAAGATAAGTAGAAACATAGCTTACGATGATGAAATTGATTACGATGTTGAACATGCATGTCAATTACTGTTACAGAGTATTCGTACCGACAAGAGCAATTTAAGTTCAGTAGGGGTTCAGAGTTCACAGGTTAGGTCACCATTAGGAATGTTGAGAGGTGTAATCGATGAATGGGAAAGCATTGGTGCATGTCCGGTCGTATTAGATATAATAAGGTCGGGATATAAATTACCGTTTCATTGTTTGCCTAGGGACGTTTTTTTGAGAAACAATAGGTCATCAATAGAGAACAGTGGTTTTGTGAGGGAGGAAATAGGCAGTCTTCTTTCGAAGGGTTGTATTCGGGAGGTGTTTGTAAAACCGGCGGTTATAAATCCACTGACAGTAGCGGGAAATAAAGAGAAGTTACGTTTGGTGCTAGATTGTAGGCATATAAACCCTTTTTTATATAAATTTGCATTCCGATACGAGGATTCTTCGGTTGCATTGGACATGTTTGGTAAGGGAGATTTCCTATTCACACTCGATTTAAAATCTGCATATCACCACATAGAAATTTATCCAGATCACCAAACCTACCTTGGTTTTGCATGGAATTTTGATGGAAAATTGAGGTATTTCGTTTTCAAGGTATTACCGTTTGGACTGTCCACGGCCGGGTACCTATTTTCGAAAGTTACTAGGGAGCTCGTGAAGTACTGGCGAGCTAGAGGTCACAGGGTCATCATGTATCTCGATGATGGAATTGGGGGTCACAGGAATAAGACACGTGCAGTAGATCTTAGTAGGCAGGTACATAAAGATTTAGGCAGGTTTTTGATATCGGAGAACACGTGTGAATGGGAACCAACCCAGGAGGTTACATGGCTAGGGTTGCGATGGAATATGACAGAGGGTATGGTGTATATTACAGAAAAAAGGTTAGTAAGGTTTGAGACGTCGGTGAAGGCAGTTTTAGATTCTGTGTCGGTTGGGAGGTTAGGTGTACCAGCTCGAGTCCTAGCAGGGGTAGTAGGTCAGGTAATTTCTATGGGCGTTGCCTTTGGGACCGTTGTGCGTCTCATGACCAGGTATATGTATGCATGCATACTGACACGGGCAGGATGGGATTCTTTTATATTTATTAACAAGGAAGCACTAGACGAGCTAAGGTTCTGGGCAGGAAATGTTAGAGTGCTAAACGGGAGGCCATTCCATATCAGAGACAATACCCATGACGTATCAATTTACAGTGATGCATCAGGCACAGGGTACGGTGGATATGTGCTACAGGTAAACGACAGTGAGGTCATAGGTACGTGGTCGGAGGCCGAGATGACGGAGAGCTCTACATGGCTCGAGCTCGAGGCGGTAGTTCGCTTGTTGAGACATTATTACATGGATGGCCTGGTAGGGCCACGCCTGGTAGGGCGTAAGGTGTTGTGGTTGACTGACAGCCAGAATGTAGCTAGTATAATACACAATGGCAGTAGGAAAAAAGAAGTACAGGGGAAGGCAAGGCAAATTCGTGATATTTGCAACAATGCGGGGTGTGAGAATGTCATTTCCTGGATACCTAGGGCGGAGAACAAGTTGGCAGATCTGTATAGCAAGTCTGGGGACAGTGATAACTGGGGAATACACAGGGACGTGTTTCTAGGCTTGGACGATGCATGGGGTCCATTTACGGTGAATAGGTTTGCTTCGACACATAATACAAAATGCGATTTGTTTAATTCGCGTTGGTGGTGTCCCGGTACGGCGGGTGATGATGGTTTATTGCAAGTTTGGGCAGGTCAAAATAATTGGTTAGTACCACCCCCGTGGTTGATACCCAAAGTAGTTAACAAATTACTAGACGAGCAAGCTCAAGCAGTTCTGGTGGTCCCATACTGGACGTCAGCGCCGTTCTGGCCAATTATCGCCCCTGGTGAGGGTCGATTTGCCTGTTTCGTCAAAGATTATAAGCAGTTACCCCCGAGAAGTATGATCCAGGGGAAGGGTAATAATGGGGTGTTTACCGGAAGTAAGGCGCCCGTAATGTTTGCACTGCGTATAACGTTCAATTAGCTAGCAGGTGCTCATCTAGATGTTTTCATGCTTCAGGGCTAGGACTACAGGCACGGATAGACGAGGCGATGCGGGCGGCAGGGTCGCCATCTCAACATTTAGAACTTCTTTCTTCAAAGATGGCTGGATACGTGCTGAGCTCTAAAGCTGACAATACTGTGTCCAAGTATTATGGTGGTTTTCGGAGATGGAGCCAATTCATTACGCGGGAAGGGGGTTGCGCGCTTCCGGGGCAACCCATCCATGTGGCGTTGTATTTAACACATATGCTAGACACAGGATGTTCACATAGCGTTTTGACCACGGCTCTGTATTCTATAAAATGGGCACATGGGATTAGCGGGATGTCGGATCCTACGGAAAACTGTTTTGTGAAAAGTTTGATGGAATCTTCCAAGAGACAGGATCGGCCACCTCGGGTTAAGAAGAACTGTGTTTCAACCAGTGACATTATAGAGCTTTGTGAAAAGTATAAAGACGAAACAGATCTGCTTGTCATTAGAGATTTAGTAATGATTGTGCTCGCATTCGCGGGATTTTTGAGGTATGATGAGTTGAGGGCGCTGAGGGTGAGAGACATTTCATTTCAAGATACCTATCTTAAGCTTATTATTAGGAAAAGCAAAACGGATCAATATAGGTTAGGTGATGAGTTAGTGATAGTAAGAGGCGAGACAGTAGCTTGTCCTTATAGAATCATGCAGAAGTATATGTCTTTACTAGGAAGCACCGATCCAGATTATTTTTTGTTCATGCCTCTGGTGCGTGGTAGAGCCAGCTGCAAACTTATCCATAAGAACAAGGCATTGAGTTATACTCGAGCTCGAGAATGCATAGTGAGGAGGCTGCGAGAAGTTGCAGTTAACCAGAATTTGGGTTTGCATTCACTCAGAGCTGGTGGGGCTACAGAGGCTGCCAATAATGACGTGAATGAGAGGTGTTGGAAACGCCATGGTCGTTGGAGAGGTGACATTTCCAAGGACGGGTACATTTCAGATTCTTTGTCGCATAGGTTGCAGGTTACAAAGCGCCTAGGCTTATAGGGTAATTGATTTATCGACGTTTTAGGCAGGTTACATTAGCTTTAAGGTAAATCGGTTTGTCGCATCCCGTTCTTTTATAATCTATCGTCCGCTCGGCTCACATGCATATGGTGGTTGTGTTTTTATGGGAGTAAGGTAGCATAGTAGTATATAAAGGATTTCAAAAAATTCCGCGTTTCGGAGAATAGCGGAAATTTGCTATCCTATAGTTTCGGTCACGTACATATGTACGCAAGGCGTGCAAGGCAGTGTATAGTATCTGACCAATCAGGAGACTGATTGGCGTGCCACGTGGAGTACTAGGGTACCGACGCGCACGTGAGGGGTATATCGGGTATTCATTCTAGCCGCGGACTTCCAAAGCGTTCACTGCTATAGTTTTAGGGTTCGGGTGAAAACGTATACAATGCACTTATATATAGTATAGAATATATAATTTACATATTTTCGCTTTTCAGTAAAGGTATTGAAGAAATATAAAGTGTGAAAGTATCTAACGACCGGTAGAAATACCATTGTAGACCATTAAAATGCAGGTGCTTAAAATGAATGAACAATTGAAATCCCAGCATTATTTCGGGAGCCTGAAGCAGTTTGGGCTGGTGCACCTCCTCTCATCCCGTATAACGGTTTTGAGGTTGGGTGGCTCGCTTGGTTCTCCTAAGGCTTGTTATACAATGGTAGAATTAGGGTAGCGAGAGGCTAATGAGTGAGTAAAGGAATGTATATATATTAAAAAAAAAAGAGAGAATATGACATTAAATGCCGGCTCTATCGTCCGCTCGGCTCACATGCATATGGTGGTTGTGTTTTTATGGGAATAAGGTAGCATAGTAGTATATAAAGGATATTAACTGTGGTGGCTTATGGTATTGTCTTACATAAGGCAATTGCTCTCTTCCATGTATGCCTATATAACATATGCATAGTCATACATACGTACGTACGTCCCTACCAACCCACTTATCTAAAATGCACATACATACATATGTCCAAACACACACACACGCACGCAAGCGCGCGCGCGCGTACACACACACACACACACACACACACACACACACACACACACACACACACACAAGGGAGACAATTTTTTAGACAAAAAAGGGTTAGTTATACATAGACAACTCTGAACTGTAACCACTGTAGGTTTGTATTAGTACTAAAAAAAACAAAAACAGCAGTTTCTCCTATATTTGTTTATCTATGTCGTCAAATAGTGTGTTCATTTTTTCTGAGATTTAATCAGCATGACAAAAAAATTTCGATTCTCCGTGAAAAGTTTCCAAGTTGATGGGTATACATAGATTGCTTAATCAAGTCTGTTTTAAGTATTTAGTGTTAAAAAGACACCATGAGTTGAAGGCAAAATACATGTTTGTATTTCGTTATACATACACTGATATAGTCACTAACACAACTTGCAAGAAAATCCCGTATCAATGAAGGTTTCAAATATAGTTCGCCTTTTCCATGTACTTTGAAAAAGTCTTCGCACTCAAGCAAGTTTTAAAGAATTAAAAAAATGTTGATACCAAAACAGTTTCCAAGCCAATTTTGGATAATTATTTCCATTTCAATGTTATCCGTTCCTCCCTTTCACAAGTAATCAAATAATATTGCACTGCGTTTATTGATAATCGATTAAACTGTGATATGAGTAATTACTTTGTTGTGTTTATTTGCCAACAAGAAAAAATCACCTTCTGCTCCATATCTTAAATTAGATTTAGTTATTGTCTAAATTAAGTTTTGATATTTCACAGATTAGATTATACTCTGAAGGAAAACAGGGCATCACTTCGTGTATGTTGACCATTCGTATTACCTGAAACATATCAACGTTCGTTTTTTGTTTTTTTGCTTTTTTTTGTTTTTTGTTTTTTTGGTTTGTTTTGCAAATCTGTCTAATTATTCAATTTATGTAGTTTTCAGATTCATCAAGTACTAGTGAAGTATCATCTGCATAATGTGATGACAGAATAGGACAGATACGTTTTTGGAACAAATTAAGGGAAATGGTACATTTTTAGTCAAGAGGATATTAATGATTATTATTATTAAAAATAGCATTACTATTCAGCGGTTTAAATTTCCTCACTAACACGTTGCATGCAACAGGGGCATGGTGCATATCAAATACATTATCCAAATAAAAAAAGAAACTGAACGAACACATGCAGATTTGTAAATAAAAAAACGTTGATAGAATCTATTACACCGTTACATAAAGATATTTAATTGAATACACTGATTCTAGTTTCAATTCATATATATAATGTTTTAGGCGATTAATATAAGTTTAAATGACATGTGGTTGTATGGCAGCATGGCTGCGTGAAGAAACATTGAATCCCAATGCTCAAGATAGCCAAAATGTATTTTCTGCATTGCCACTCTTGTCTTCCCGTTTGTCCATTGGTATTATCATTAAATAAGGAATCTCTGTAGCTCATTGCCTGGTTTATCCCTCTACCTCACACACGGAAAATTTAACATTAAAACAGCACAGAAGTCACAACACTTGATCTCAGATCTAATTAGTGAAATGTAACCTGAAGGCAATTGTGTTTAATGGTATCGAACATAGCTTTAATGTTATCTTAATACGTCTTCAAAAACATCTACCTTTCCTAGTAGCAACATTCTACATCAAACATTTTGATTGTGTCGTCATGGGTGAAAACTAGGGACATGATGTTGCTGTTTCCCATCTTGGTATAACCAATATTTCACTTGTGCCATCCTTTTTTTGACAGTTTTACGTTTACATAGCTAACGGTTCAGTTTCATGTCGGTTATTGTAACTACAATCTTTTATGATTTAAATCGACGAATGGTGAAGATGCTAGTAACACGTGATACTTCCTCTCAGAGGATCAGGGACCTTAAGCAAGAGTCTTGTACGTCATGACCAATTTTCTGTAATTATTGTCTACTGTTACTTATGTTAACAATACATTTTAAAAGCCATGTTAGCTATCAACATCATCGTGTATTCATCTTTATAATGTCCCCAATGCATACAGTAGTCTTTAAACGTATCTTTCCTTCTACTCCTGGGCAACATTAAGGAAATATTGAACCTGGCAAACTAACTCACCTCTATACTGGGATCACTGAATGTGCTGCTATACAAATACATGCCGTGTTACAGATTCATTTACTTCATGTTCGAAAAACTGCTAATAGTGTTGCATTGAAGTTCTTTACCAACGAAGATCTTTAATGTCATAACGGGCGCTATGATTGGCCAAAATACAAACAACAATCACTTTTACCGGTTGGGGTGCAGCTAAAGCGAAAGTGTGGCAGGTAGTTACTTTGCAATCACACTTTGATACAATGGAAGATATTTATTTCTGTGTCGATTCTACTTTGGTTATTAGCCATGTTTTATGTCTGTCGTTAAATTCCATCGTTGGGATTTATCGAAAACTTGCCCGAAATGATTACGAGAAAGTGTGTCCATGTCAATATAACGTTTGCATGTCCCCTCATGAAGTATATCAATATACTGTATAGAGGAACCCTCAAGGAAAGTGTTAATATACTGTAAACATATGCCCTCATTGAACGTATATTGAATAAAGATCCGCTTAAGGAACGTATCAATATACTGTTGATATGCTCCATCAGGTAACGCATCAATATACTGTTGACATGCTCCATCAGGGAACGCATCAATATACTGTTGATATGCTCCATCAGGGAACGTATCAATATACTGTTGACATGCTCCATCAGGGAACGTATCAATATACTGTTGACATGCTCCATCAGGGAACGTATCAATATAATGTTGACATGCTCCATCAGGTAACGCATCAATATACTGTTGACATGCTCCATCAGGGAACGCATCAATATACTGTTGAAATGCTCCATCAGGGAACGTATCAATAAAATGTTGACATGCTCCATCAGGGAACGCATCAATATACTGTTGACATGCTCCATCAGGGAACGTATCAATATACTGCATTAATATACTGTTGACATGCTCCATCAGGGAACGCATCGATATTTTGTTGTTATGTTCCATCAGGGAACGCATTAATATACTGTTGACATGCTCCACCAGGGAACGCATCAATATACTGTTGATATGCTCCATCAGGGAACGTATCAATAAAATGTTGACATGCTCCATCAGGGAACGCATCAATATAGTGTTGACATGCTCCATCAGGGAACGTATCAATATACTGCATTAATATACTGTAGACATGCTCCATCAGGGAACGCATCGATATTTTGTTATGTTCCATCAGGGAACGCATTAATATACTGTTGACATGCTCCATCAGGGAACGCATCAATATACTGTTGATATGCTCCATCAGGGAACGTATCAATAAAATGTTGACATGCTCCATCAGGGAACGCATCAATATACTGTTGACATGCTCCATAAGGGAACGCATCGATATTTTGTTGTTATGTTCCATCAGGGAACGCATTAATATACTGTTGACATGCTCCATCAGGGAACGCATCAATATACTGTTGATATGCTCCATCAGGGAACGTATCAATAAAATGTTGACATGCTCCATCAGGGAACGCATCAATATACTGTTGACATGCTCCATCAGGGAACGTATCATTATACTTTATACGGATGCCTCCATGACCTAAATCAAGGACAAGTGAATAGAATTCAATACAAATGAATTTCACGTTTTTCCTGTCGAGTTTCTTCAACATAGACATCATCTAAAAACTTTACGTGGAGAAAATCTGTTATATATGAAATAAAATCATGTTGACATGGGACATCACAAGTTACATAATGGTCTAATTTAATTATATTGTGAAATCATCGAAATTTATTATTTATCATAATGTTCCTTATATGGAATGGATTCATATCGGCGACAGGCAAGGTAACAATTGCATGAGAACGTTTCAGTCAACATGGCGCCAATTCAAACTAACGTCATATTTGAATCATATAGTAATCCTCCTATCACCATGACGACTGTAAAACTTCC